TCGTTTTAAAATTTTTGTTTGTATCCCCCTTCCCTGGTTGAGTTGTGAGCCGCCCTGAGTCCCCTTCGGGGGAAAAGGGCGGCATATAAATAAAAAATCAACATTCAAAATAAATCAACATTCAACACACCAGGTTCACCAGTTCACTGTCTCTCAGAGTGCCCAAATTCATGTTTATTGCATCAGTGACATTTCTTCTAACCATCTCATCCTCTGCTGTCCACTGTTCCTTTTGCCTTCTGTATTTCCCAACATCCGGGTTTTTCCAGTGAGTCTCTTTTCACTAGGTGACCAAAGTATTTGAGCTTCAGCTGCCAAAGAACAATTAGTTTTGATTTCCTTTAGAATTGATTTGATCTCTTTGCAATCCAAGGAACTCTCAAGCCTTTCCAGCACCACAATTTGAAAGCATCAATTCTTCGGCATTCCACCTTCCTTAATGGTCCAACTCTCACAGTTACACATTACTACTGGGAAAATCATAGCTTTTGAGTATATAGACCTTTGTCGGCAAGGTGATAGCTCTCCTTTTTTTTATGCTGTCTAGGTTTGCCATAGTTTTTCACCTCAAGGAGCAAGCGTCTTTTAATTTTATGGCTGCAGTCACCGTCTGCAACAAGCCAAAGAAAATAAAATCTGACACCATTTCTATTTAATGTTGAATTTCAATCCAACTTTTGTATTCTCCCCTTTCACCTCATCAAGAGACTCTTTACTTCCACTTTTACTTCCACTTCACTTTCTGTCATTAGAGTGGTATCATCTTGCATATCTGAGATAGTTGATATTTCTCTCAGCAGTCTTTAATTTCAGCTTTTGATTCATCCAGTCCAGCATTTTGCATGATATATTCTGCATTTACTCTGTTAAATAAGTAGGGGGAATCAAATAATGTGCAGTCTGCAAAAGATAATTTTTACAATATATTTCCTGCCAGATGAGGCTACTGAAGAAATGAGATGACCATTTGTCTTGTTCCTAGAAAAGGTAGCTCTCGACTTACGATCACAATTGAGCCGAAAATTCCTATTGCTAAGTGAAACAGTTGTTAAATGAGTTTTGCCCCATTTTACGACCATTCTTACCATACTTGTTAAATGACTGACTTTCCCTAGACTTTGCTTGTAGGAAAATTATAAAAGTGATCACATGACCCTGGGACACTGCAACCATCATAAATATCAAGTCAATTACCAAGGTCCAAATTTTGATCATGGGATTGCCACAATGGTCATAAGTATGAAAAACAGTCATAAGTCATTTTTTCAGTGTTGTTGTAATTTTGAATGATCACCAAACTATTATAAGTCAAGGACTAACTGTATCCCAGAGAAAATAGGTTTGCTTTGAAATGGTTGGTAGTAACAAACTCTAGGCTTCTCCCAGAAATTATGAGAACAAGAGGAGTCAGAAGATAGCAGAGTTGTGAAATGGGTGCACAGCTCATTACAAGTTCCAGCATTTCATTTATTGGCTTCTGGAGCACCAGTGACATCATAAAGTCAACATTATGTAGAAAAGAGTTTTTAAAAAGTTTAGAAGTAGAAATGTTATATACCCATGCATCATTGTGTTAAATGTGCAGATTTTTTAAAAAAAGATATTTGCTTAGTACCATTATGATTATTAGTTCTTCATTATCTTATACAAATTATACTAGATTAGTGACCCATATATTGTATACATACGTGTTTGTTGTTACATATTGTAACATATTACATAATGTTACATATTGTATTAAAACCAGTTTTTAATTTATCATCTTTTGATGCTGGAGAAGCCATGATCATTAAATTGTCATGTTCTGTCATAACTTTATAGTAAATTTATATTAAAAATATTGCCAAATGATTATGATTTTTACATAATATAATTCTTAATACATTTTAAGCACTCCAAACATATAAAGATGCAAATCTTCATGTGAATAATTGTAACAAAAATAGATCATACACAACCCCAAGAAAGTCATGGCCATGAACATTTGGGTGAGATGATTCTGGCCTAATTGCCTCAGTCAATGTAGCCAAACACTATCCTTTGAAAAATAATTTATATCTAGTTTGTACCATTGTGTATAGGCAGTCCTTGAATTAAAGTTGAATTAAGTTGTTTAACAACTCTTCAAAATTACAACAGTATTGGGGAAAAAAGGGATTTATATCTGGTGCCCTGTTCTTCCTGCACCCCATGACCATGTGATCAAAATCCAAATGGCAGCCAGCAGGAAGGCTGCAACTCCCCACACCTCCTCCACCACTCCCCCACCCCAGCTATGCTCTTTGGTTGCCTCTGAACAGTTGCTTTTGGAGACCATACCAGGGCTGGGACTGAAGTAGAGGCTTAAGGCCTTCAGCAGTCCTACTTAGCTATCTTTTCCATAGCCAGCCATATCAGTCCCATTGTCCAAAGCTTATTCTCCAAATAGCCTAGGAAAGACCAAAAGATTTCTGAAGGATTGTGAGAATAGGGTTGTGCAATTTGGACAAGAAAGAAGGCCTGGTAGGGCCAGCAGCTGCCTGAAATACAGGTGGTGTACCGCATGATGGCAAAAAAACAAACAAACTGATAAAGATCATCCAGATGCAGGAGAATCTGCCGAGCACAGAAAGGCTGTGTGAAACAATTTTGACTGTGCAGAGATGCTGGTGTCGTATGCCACAATGTGGGCTTAAAGCATTATTTCTCAGTAGCAGTGCTGGGGCTGAAGTTAAGTTTCCTGAAATGAGACTGCTGAAAGACCAGGCTTCTATTCCAGTTCTTCCACTGCTGCCAAGTGCCCCTGGAGGGCAGTCAAAAGGGCAAGGATTCTCTCAACCCCCCATGCATTCCACGCTCCTATTTACGGCTTTCGTCACTCAGTGATTCTTAGTTAACCACGACTGTCAGGATATTATAATTACTAAGTAATGTAGTCATGTGATTTTCTTACTTTACAACTGCATTGTTTAGCAACAGAAATTCCAGTCACAATTGTGGTTGTAAATTTAAAATTACCATTTTATATATATATATATATTTGGGCATACCAGGGGTTGTGTCACTGTGTGTGTGTGTGTGTGTGTGTGCTGATAAATAGTTATATATAGTTATATATAGTTATATAGTTAAATCACTGGACAAAGTGTCAGATTTGTTTTTTAAATATCTCGAATTAAGAATGTTATCTGAATTTCGAATACCTAAACTTTTGTTATAGTTCGGGAATATGTATAAAGCATATGAAATTATTTTTTGCTACCTATTACAAATTATAACCTCTTTTTACAATGGGTGCATTTATACATCAGAGCAAGTCAAATTTTGTTTTGTTTTAGAATGGTCACACTTTTTTTAGAAAAAATATTCAAGAGTTTAATATGTGATTTTCAGTTCCAACCGTGTTTGTTTTGAAGAATAAATTGTGATATGAAGTTTGTTGGAATTTTGATATACAATAGTTCATTCCCTAGCTATATGAAATTAAAAAGATGTACAATAGTATTTCTGCTCTCTTCAGTTATATGATTGCCATATTGCTAGACTACGTATACATATTTTCAAATATTCACTAATCCTGGAATCCTAATTAGTGTTGCTAATTAGACCTACAGCATCAGTCAGAGGCAAGTCTTAGCTGTATTATAAACTCTTTCTGTTGATCAACTGCTGGAACTTTAGGCATTTCTGAATATAGAGAGCAATGAGAGTATATCATGTATTTACATCCTGCAGGAACTAAGGAGTACTCCCTTTACGTCATCTGAATTCCCTGCAAGACTTCTATCTGGATGAATTAATGGAGAAAAACTATTTATATATTCCAAAATATATGTTTACCTTTATTAACCAAATCTTTTTTTTAATTAGTCAAAATCTCAGATGATGGAATACTGAATTATGACAACTATAATTAATATTTATGTGTTTTCTTTATATTAAAAGTCAATTCTATGTGGTGTCATTTTTCAGTGTCCCCCAAGTTAATACTTTTTTGTTCTATTTCAGGAACAGAAAAGTAGTAGACTACTCACAGTTTCAGGAATCAGATGATGCAGGTAACTATCAATTCCTAAGCAAAACGTTTCTACAATTATGAAAAGCAATGGGAAACAAATGTTTGAAAAATATTGCATATTTTAGTCAGGGGCTATATTTAAGTGATTCTTTGAGGTGTTTATGTAGATCTTTTTAGATAAAGCTTCTTAGTTTCTATGATTCTAGAAAGTTTATTGTGTTGGCTCAGAAATGGCTATCTGTTAACATTTCTGGAACCTATACAGTTTATTTCCTTTCTTGGATAGAAAAATGGCATGCTCCTGTAATTTCATAGTGACCAGAATTGTTATTGTATTTTTAGTAAGGCAAAACATAGTAAAATTCCAAATTATTGACATCTTTTCGTTTTAATTATAAATTGTATTAGATTTTTATAAAATAAGAAACAAGAGCTTAATAATAAAACAAAATTTATGTAACTCAGTGTTGAACTATGAAATCCTTGATGCTTTCTTCAGTTCATTGTCAGGGTAATTACAACAGAGATTAGCATGCAAGTATTATAATTTTACATTTTTAATTTTCCTAATAATGTCCAATATGGCATTTTTTCACATTTGCCTATATTGGGCCAATATTTTTAACTATCATAATTTTAATAGACTTTTTCATTCATTCAGTGAGCTCAATCTCAAGCTGCCAATTTAAGTGTGTTTAAGGTTTTGTTTTGTAGGGGTCTGCTTTGCTTTATTTAGAGTTTATTGTTTCGTTTGTATGTGGGGTTTTTTCTTTGGTTTTTGCCTTGGCATTCTTCACTTTACCTCTGCTTGCATATATTATTATCCTTATTTACTTAAACTGGAGATACCCTTTTGAATATCTTTGTTTTTATTTGAATTTTGTTTAATATATTCTCAGTATTCTTTCCAGCTCATTCTCACTCACACACTCACTTATAAATGCAAGAAAATATAGCAAATTTAAAACTGCGCAAAATAAATAACAGCAGTCTATAAAATGCTATTTTTTTTAAAAAGGAACTCTGAATTTTCAGTACTTCTGATCAAAATTTAATCTTTTGTTTTTGTTAGAATAGTATATATAATGGCGATTTTAAAGTTAAACTGACAGATTTGTAAATCATTTATTAATTCTGCTTAATCTTGTTTACTGTGTAGATGAAGAATATGGTAGGGATTCAGCCCCTCCAGCAAAGAAAATGCGTTCATCACCAAGAGACGCAAAAAATAAGAGGAGGTCTGGAAAAAATTCTCAGGAGGACAGGTAAGCTGGATATAGTTTTCTAGTAGTTAGATTTGGTGTGTGGCATTTGTCTCTGCTTGTGTATCTAGAGGCTATATATTCTATTAGCTTACCTTAAAGAAAGTATGAATTCTATATCAATGTTTACTAACCTAAAAATTGTGTCCAATTAGAAAGTTTTGAATTTTAAAATTTTGTAACATTGAACATGGAAAGATAAAAGTTCTACTTGTTGTTGAACTACCATTCCTAGTTTCCTTTACTATTAACAATTATAACTGGTTGCTGTGGGCAATAGTTCATCACAACTATCAGGCATATCTTTCCAATTCATGCTTTGCTTTCACGATATCCGAGACCTGCAAAATCCTAATACTTTTAAGCATATTTTAATACTTGATATTAATCTTTTATTTTGGTCTTAATGTAACTTTAGAGTATTTATTTCTACATGATTGGATTAATTACGCTGTTTTAGAATTGCAGCGTGTGTGCATGTGCACACATAGAAATAGTGAAAATGGATGGCAGAAAAAGATCTAGTGGTCCATTGAAGTTGTCCTTTGAGGTATTTTTTGGGATTGATTGATTATTTTTATTGGATGGACATGACTTCATCCCAAGCAAGTTTAAACTCAGTTACTGATAATTGATTATTATCTCTGCTGGAAGTTGATTCCAAGCTTCTATTATTTTATCTGTGAAGTAATATTTTCAAACATTACTTTTTAAATTCCCTATCAGTTTCTTGATGTTTGGTTATATAGAAATCTAGAAGCTTATTCAGCCTCTTAATATATTTTAGGGGTTCAGTTATTTCTCCCCTTCTGACCTCTAGACTGTTCATATTCAGTTTTTCCAATCTCTCCTGATTGTCCCTCAGACCTTGTACTGTTTTGTTATTCATATCTGGACTTACTCAACCATATCAATATGTTTTTATTTAAAGGGAGGTCTCCAGATCTGGACACAGCATTCCAAATTGGGTCTGACTAAAGCCCTATATAGTGTGATTAGAACCTAATATAATATGATTCTACCTTTTAATTATTTTAATTGACCGTGAAACTAGGCAGTGAAAAATTCAATAGAAGAAATGAGTGTTTGCAAAATATACATTTAGAGAATAAACATTAAGAGGAGGAAATATAGGAGACAATAATTTCCTATGTTTTAAAGGAAAAAAAATAGCATTCACTTATTGAGTTTTAGTACCACCTGAAGCAATGGTGATATTTCCACCTCATGGTTTTATCATTCACAACATTTTAAGGAGTATTAAAAATAGCAAATATTGCCTCTAGAGATATCCAAAAGTATATTTTGTAGTGAATACTAAGCAGTAAAAATGGATTGTACAGGTAGTCCTCAACTTACAACCACAATTGGGAGTGTAACTTCCATTGCTAAGCAAGGTGGTCATTAAGTGAGTTGTGCCCAAACTTATGATTTTTTTAACTGCCAATGTTAAGTGAATCTGTCTTCTCCCATTGCCCTTGTTTGTCAGAAGCTGGTTGAGAAAGTTGTAAATGCTGATGGCATGGCCCAGGGTGCTGTAATCATGGTAAATACATGCCAGTTGCCAAGCACCAGAATTTTGATCAATTGGCGATGGGTAGCTACAACAATTGTAAGCGCAAAGACCAGTTGTAAATCACTTTTTTCAGCATATCATTGAATGAGCACTAAACAAATGGTTATAGTCAAGGATTACCTGTACTGCTAATGCAAAATAGGCTAGGGAATGATACATAAAGCATGATATATATGAGGTATGTATGAGGTGAGGACGGATTCAGAAAAACTTATTAATTCTGTCCTGTTTTTCTTATTGTAAGCAGAAGAGTTGTCAGTTCAAAATCATTTGGCACCACCTAAATATGAAAATTATCCAATAACTTAACTTTTTCCATTTCATATCACAATACATCAATACAAGATTTAAGCACCATAAAGGGATATTAAAATTTTGTATTAAATTTATGTTTGCCCAAATTATTAAAATTCTATTAAAGTATGTTCCTTCCAATTCCATCAGGAAAGATGAAGGAGGAAGCACTTATAATCTTCAAATGTGTAAATAGTTGAGGCAGCAGAGAATCCATGGTGAAGAAAAATTTACTGAAACAACCTAGGATGAATTGTAGACAGGTCAGATCATAGATTGACAATTTTCCAGTATTGGTGTAACCATGAAAGGGATGTGAAGAGTCATTGGCATGGTAGTGAGTATAAGATACACACTAGGAACTTATTGAATAAAATCTGAATATTTCCAATTTAATTTTCAGCTGGAATTCCTAAATTGCATTTTTTCAGAAATGTTTTTGCCAAGTTATTAAAATTTTTGCTTTCTCTGTAAATCAGATTTATGTAGAAAGTTATGACTCTATGAACTTCAGACAAATACATCCTTAGAACTCAGATTTCACAGTTAAGCTGCACGTTCCCTTCATTATCCAATTTTTCATCGTAAAGGAGTGATAGAATTGAAAATTAGCTTTTGATTGATTGATTGATTGATTCATTCATTGATCAAATTAATAAAATTAATACAATTCTGTATTATGACCATTAACCAATTTAGTTGCTTCTCTGGGAGTGTAATAGCATCACAGCAATCTTTCTGGAAATATTTTTAAATTGTTTTCCTTTTTATAGTGAAGACTCAGAAAAGGACATGAAGACAAAGAGAGATGATTCACATTCAGCTGGTAACTATACCATTTTTGTAATTTGATGGCAGTTTGATCAGAGTATGTAATCAATGATTTCACTTTTACTATTACATGAAATCTTTAATGCTTTTTGGTTTAAATCATCTACTTATTTCTGATATGTGAAATTAATATTTGAATAGTTAGTACCATGTGATTTGTTTTTATGTAGCAGATAGGAAACCTATTTCTGAATTACAACTCTCTGCATTCTTCAACACTGAGTAGAGCCATCCTATTTGGGGGTGTTTAGGAGTAAGCACAACCTTCCCATGGCTGCTATAGCCAATTTCTAAGAATATTTCTATTATTATTTCTTTTGTTCATTAAACATCACAAATACCACTGACTGTTGCTAATGGTTGATATAGGTTGCTATCAGTGTCCTAGGTATCAACCAAGTACCTTCCAAGTACTTGATACTGGGTATCAACCAAGTACTACTACTACTGCTACTACTACTACTACTATTCCATCTTTTTTTCTCAGATGAAGATTTTGGCAGTGAGGATGATATAGGAGCAGATGATGGTAAAGCTGATAGTGACTACGAAAGTTCTCAAAAGAACAAAAAAGGAAAAAAAGTGAAGCCTGAGAAGAACAAAAAAGCTGCTTCCAGATCTAGAAAAAGGGCTGCAGGTAATGTCTTCCAATGATGTGTTTAAAAGATAACATCATTTAATAATTATGTGATACATGATTGATTGGCAGATAATTTCAGGTAATGTTTCATGAAATCTTAAACAAATCATTGGAATTTAATTAATTTGAAGTACAGTATGTACTTGTATGTAAACATGTATGTATGTATGAATGAATGAAAGAAAGAAAGAAAACTGGTAAAATGTTGCCTGTTTTGTTTATTTTGATATCTCTACCCACTGTTTTGGTTCTGATTTACTTAGTATAATATCTTAACTCTTGTTCATGTGGTTCAAACCTCATATAAAGGTTTGGCTTAGTTCAAAAAGCCAAATAGCAATAGCAGTTAGACTTATATACCACTTCACAGTGCTTTACAGCCCTCTCTAAGTGGTTTATAGCCCTCAACAATATCGGACCTCTTTTTACCCACCTCAGAAGGATGGGAGGCTGAGTCAACCTTGAGTCTGGTGAGAGTCGAACTGCCAAATTGCAGGCAGCAGAAGTAACCTGCAGTACTACACTCTAACCACTCCACCACCACAGCTCAAATGAAGGAAATAGAAGTGGATAAAGAGTAATAATTATCTTTGCTTTTGATATATAGTATAATGTAGATGACAATTGATGCTGGATGTTGAAATACTAGGATTATTTTGCATAAATCATATTTAGAATAATTACAAATTGCAACTATTAGATACAGGTAGAATTAAGTGAACTACACTCCAGTATGGAAAGTTGGACTTTTATTTCTACCTATTTATTTCTGCCTGTTGGAAATGTATATAGAACAAACAATATTTAGTGATTTTTCTGATTTTATAACAGAGGATAGTGAGGATGAGAAAGAAGACCACAAAAATGTGCGTCAGCAGCGGCAAGCAGCATCCAAAGCTGCATCCAAGCAAAGAGAAATGCTAATGGATGATGTGGGCAGTGAGGAGGAAGATCAGGAAGAGGAAGAGACAACATTTCAGGAAAGTAAGTGACATTCAGAGGCGCATGTATAGATATATGGAACGTAAGAATAAATTGTCAGTCTGCAGCCATGATTGATATGGTGTCCACATTAATTGTTCAGACAATCAAACATGATATTTTATCTTTTTAAATATGACATCCATTTCATTGTTGATATATTCGATGTCCAGGATGTCTATTGGCAGCAAAGAGGATTAAAAAATACTCTATCCCTAAAATTCAGGACATAAAAACTTTTCAGACCATGGCAATTTTTAGGTAATATTCTGCTAGAAAAATGCAAAGAATATAAAAATGCCACTCATCACTGTTTTACCTTCAGCACTGGGCAATAGTCTGAACAGTCTAATTTTATTACAAGTACTATCTTATCTGGCTTCATGATACAGTGACAGGCTTCAAATCTTTATCTTCACAGTTAGTTAGAATAAACCAAAAGTTTAAAAACGAATTTATGTTAAAATATCTGCAGTACAGCTTTCTAACTTGTCTGTTGTATAAATTGATAGACGCATGCTCTAAATGGTGAAAGGTTGGGAGCCATGAGAAATTTTTAGTGAATGTATCAAATAAACAGAAACCCAGTGAATGTGTGAACTGATGAACTAGAATCATGGAAACCTGGATTCAAAACCTGGAAGTCTGTTTTAGGAAGAATAAGATACTCTTTCTATATAATAAGTTACTGATATTGACTGCAAAGGGCACTTCTACAACTTGCTACAAGATGGAAGACCATATTGAACAAGAAAGGAATCATGACAGACTGGGAAGGGCTTTGATGTAGAACTACAACAGCTATTATAAAAATAGTCAGGCTTTGAGCCTTAATTGCTTTTGAGGGAAAGAAATTTGCCTATGCAACTGCTATTTTAAATAATAATACTACTTATCACAAGCTCTAAAGCAAATTTACAGGAGGAAATACTGAGGCGAAGAAGTTGTGATTTCTCCAAATTCTAGCAAGTGTGTTACAGGATATAGAAGCCAAGAATACTGACTCCTATCTCTTGATCAACCTACCAGACTCTCTCCCTCATTCTGTCTCTCTTCCAAGTGAACAAGAACAGCTCTTCTTAGAGACATTTCATTCCTCTCTCTCTGCACAGAAGATTCTGCCAGCGATGAAGACTTCCTTGCGGAAGATGATGATGATAGTGACTATGGCAGTTCTAAAAAGAAGAATAAAAAAGTGGCTAAGAAATCGAAACCAGAAAGGAAAGAAAAGAAAATGCCTAAACCAAGACTAAAGGCTACAGGTGAGCTTAGCTTGCTTCAAAAGTTCTTATTTTACATCCATTAAGAATAACAGAATGAAATGTGTTGTTTGCAAGTATTTATATTTTCTCAGCTCTTCATCTTGTGTGTGTTTAGAAGGATATCAATCAAATTCTCAATGTTAAATCCAGATTTGTGGGTGATATAATTGAATAGACTACTAAAAGTTCATTTGTGCATTATTTCTTTTTCAAAGAATCAGAAAATTCTGATTGGATTTGGATGGGATTCTTCTGATGTTATCATTGTTAGTATTATGTTCAGACCACTTGCCAGTGCTGATTAAAACAAGTGATATTAGTGTCTTTTAGATCCTTCAAGTGGTATTATTTTCATTCTATTTCAAAAGAGAACAGTGTTGCTCATTTTGACATGTACAGATACCTACAGAACTACGTATATCTTCAAATATACAATACTTATTTGGTTACATATTACTTATTAAAATTCAGCTTCAATGAAAAATGTATAGAATTGTACTTTATTTCCTATCAATATGTCTATTTATCCTCAAAAATGCTGTTGCCTTCTATATTTGCAGTAGAAAGCCCTACTGAAACTGCTTTCATTATTAGCTTTTTGTTGCTAATGTTATGGAAAATTGGAAGGCAAACATTGTCAACCAAAACTTAGTGTCAGAAAAATTACTCATAGGCTGCCTGTGCTATTAAAATATAGATAGTATGAGCTCAACCTGATTCTTTGCTAAATAAGGATCCTGCGTGTTTTCATAATAGTGCTAGAATAGAATTAATATAATTTATTAGATGATTAGAAAGCAGTATATAGAGTTGCTTTGGATACCAAAGCTTTATAAACTGAAATGAATAAATTTAATAAATAAAAATCCCTTTGATTTGGAGTATGGGCATCTTCACCATTAAAACATGTGATGTAATAATCAAATATTTTACTATTGTTCTGATGCTTTTCTTCAGTTACACCTAGTCCGGTAAAGGGCAAAGGAAAGGGCGGTCGTTCCACAGCTTCAAAGACATCAAAAGAAAAAAACCCATCCCCAAAAGATGATGATGATGAACCTGAAAGTCCTCCACAAAAGAAGAAATCAGTTAGTCCTCCTCCAGACAAATCTGGGGATGAAGGGTCTGAAGATGAAGTCCAGTCTGGTGAAGATTAAACGGTGGTGTGGGAGAGAAACTTTTTTGAGAGAGAGTAAGGAAAAGAGGATATGCTTAGGGGTAGAACATGGTTTTGGTTGTGGCTTAACTATTGGGCTGTGAATGCCACTTTTACTTTAGTTGTTTTAATAGTACAATTCTTCTGTTTTGTTTTTTTTTAAAAACCTTTATGTTTTGATGTCACAGTCTCTATTGGCCATTCTGTTCTCCCCAACAAACCTGAAAGCCATTTAGATTTAAATTAACAGCTAACTAAAGATATATTTTTGAAAGCTTACTACAGCTGTTAAGCAATAAGATTGAAGCTGACCCTTGGAGATCATTGTTAACAAATAGAATAGATTTTCCAAAGCTGAGAAGTCAATTTGCTTAATTGAATCTAAAACGAATAGATTATTGCATATAGCATTTTTATTGACGTAAACCCACCTTTTGTAACTGAATTATTTTGAATTCCATTATGCATTGCAAGTTCTAATACTCTGAATCTTTTGGCTTCCACTGTTTATCTTAGTGGCCAAGGTTATTTTAGTAACAATTTAGTCTGATCTGTTCCAGGATTTGAGAAGGTCATACCTGTTCATACCATTTATATCCTTTGTTAGGACAAAGATTTAGGACAAAGATTTCCATTGACTAAAATGCATTAATATCCTTATAGCTTATTCTGAAATTTCTGTGCTTTTTCTGCTTTCTTTCTATTACGTTTGATTTCATTGAGAAATTCTGGAAGCTGGAATTACTGCTTTAAAATTTTTGATCAATGCACTGAATGAGTGATTACACAGTATCTTTTTCAACCACTGGGTATTCATTTAAATATATTTCACAAAGTTGGAATACCCTGCTTCTATAACATAATGTGTTTTTACCATACCCTTCATTGTTTACTTCCCTTTCTGAAGAGTGAGTCCTGGTTCATAACCAAGCCTTATTTTTGGTTAGCAGAAGCAGGATGCCCATGCTAAACAAGAAACAGGGTGTAAACTGGAAGACATGATTGATACAACAGCAATCCTGACAGAATTAACATTTTAGTATCTATGCTTATATACTGTAATATTTCTGCTTATATACTGTAAATTTATAAAAAATCAAATGGATAGCAACCCCAAAAATATTCTCTTAGTAGTCTAGGTCTATATAATAAGTAAGACAAAGCCAAAGTGAAAATGAAGCATAATTTTGGTTTTCTCTTTCTCACATGTGCATACATACTCACAAACCCAACAAAGTACAATTTTGTCTTTCAAAAATACTTGGCTTATCCTCCCTTTTTTATTTAAAGCAATGCTACTTGTGTCTGTGATTGGTTCAAATATAAATCTGGGTCGTTTAGCAAAATAATACACACATCTTGGCTTGAAGTGATATCTTTGATCTAGATGTTGGCTTAATAATTTTTGAACAACATCTAGAAAGTGAAAATGCTTTGAGTTTCTCCTTGGACAGAAGCTAATTTGAGCGGAGTATTTTTTGCCAATTTAATTGAAATTTAAATGTTGAAGGGTTATAGCTAAGTATTATGTCTGAATTCTGAGTTCAAAACAGTCTTATCGCATCCTACAAATTAATTACTTGGTGACCTAGTATATGCAGTTGATCCAAATGTGCAGGTATTGAAGTGATTACCTCGTAATTATTATGGTCAGCCAGCAATATATATTTTTGCTGCTGATTCAGATTGGTTTTATATAATATGCATTTTTTTCTTTTTAAGCTTTAGCTAACAGATACAACTGTGTAATAAGAATTGGGTTGCCATTTAGATTCTTCCTCTGTTTTTCTTCCAGATAAATGATGGCAATTGAATTTCTTAATCCTAAATCAAATGCTGTGCTTTCACTGATCCTTGCATTTAACTCCTAGACAAAAATATTTTCAAGGTTCCTGAAATCTCTTAATTCAGATAGTAGTTTGGCCTTTTTCCATTTGATAACCAATACAGAGACTGAACATTAATTTTTCCCTTACTGTTCACAACAAAGCAACAAAGTAATATTTTAAATATTTCATTCTATTTTGCAGTCTTCTGTCTCTCTGTGCATATTGCTTTTATGTGAGGTATTTTAGGGATTCAATAGCTATATTAGTTTATTACTTTGTTCCATAGAACAAGTGTTGCCAGATAAACAAATAGGTAATATTCCAGTGGGCGCTAATCACACTATATTGGTTGCATCCTGGGAATGGCAGGTTTTTTGACGTAGTTTTAATTAAGTATTTCTTGCATTTGCTGAAAAACCAAAAGCAAATAAGTTTAGTGTATCTAAGTTATTGCTTCATATATAAATGTGATCGCAACAGGGGTATACATAAAATTTCAGTCAAGTTTTGAGAGGTGTGTATTTACACATTACCTTCGAGGCCTGAACAGGTAATGGTGGCTATAATACTGAAGAAATAACTTGCACACCGTAAAAGGATAATATTTAGATACATTCTTTGCGATGACTTCTCTTCGGTATATTATTCTACCACAGATCAAACAAAATGCAGGGGCATAATGACTGGTTTGATCTATTATTAAAAAATCATGTTGAAATATATTGGGGGGGGGAGAAAGAAATGTATATGCATTTGGGTGGTTGATGTGATATAAATGTTGAATATACTCAATTGTAATTGCCTGCACCAAATACTGAAACTGTTAATACTTTTAGACTGATTTTTAAAGCATTACTCAAGTATATGAGACAGCTTAACTAGAGCTAAGGAAGAAATGCTATAACATGCTGGAAATTTATGAGCTGTAGAAATTGGTGCTTTTGCTTTATGTAATTTTTCTGTGGAGTGTTTATTTTTTATAACAAATCATAATGTTGACACATGATTTTATAAAATAAAAGGAAATCAATTCCCATGATTTTAGGTATTTGGTAAATCATATTAGTATTTTGGGGGAGATTTAACTCTTTCCCCTTTTCGATTAAATGACTGGATCTGAATGGCTTGGTCTCAACCTTGGTCCTCCTGTTACTGAAACTCTCCTTTCTTTCTTTCCACCAATACCACCCCCTCAATTTCAGTTGGAGTCTGGGATTAACTCCTCTTGTGTGAAATTCACAGTGTAAAAGCTAGATATGGATGTACTTGTGATGATTTTCAGGGCCCAAAATTTATAAGCAAAACTAAGCTGACATTTGGCTGGAGTATCTCTTTCCACTTTCTTCAGTTTACTGCTTTGCTGAAGGACTTACACTTCATTATTTTCTGTTTAAAAACTCTTCTAACATTTAAAGCAAGTGCTTCTCTATTTTGAGTCTATTAAAGGAGTCACTACATTTTGATTTGATGTGTTAACCTTTTTTAAAAAGATCTGTTGACCCAAATGTGCTGTTCCAAACAGTGGAATGGTTCCATCAGTTAGAGCATGTCTGGTATGATTGTAAAATACCATTGTGTATACATTTTCTATACCTGGGTAGGGATTTTTAAATTGAGAATACAGCATTGGGGCAGAACATAAACTTGCTATAGCCACAATAACATAAAAACCCTTCAAGTATCTTGTATGAGTGGAAATGAAAGCGCATGTGTGTACGCATGCATGAGTGTCAGTCTGACAAAATGTGTGTTAGAAATTTGTGGTTTACTGCTGGAGAAACAATTATTACAAAAATTGTATATAAGAGTTTTACATAATTTGTTTATCAGGAACATGGCACAGTCAAACCCTAACAGTTCCCACATTATAGAAAGTGACAAATGAGCAAGTGCTCTTTGTATCAGATAGAAATTGATTGAATTAAATATCATGGATATTTGTCTTGGAATTAGCTATTTTGATGGGTTCTAAATCTGTCCGGATTATTGGAAAGCATATATTCAAATGCGGTACCAAGGCCACTAGTCATGATGAATAACCAATAAAGTTGTCAGTCTGTTGACAATGAAATCTGCAGCATGGTACTAAGGATCAGTTTGAATGTAATGCTTTATATAAAAATGAATTTCAAAAGGGAGGGGGGTTGAAGTGAACATGATATTGTTAACCATGTTCGTGAATTATAGATGCAACATGCATTGGTAGAATTGTGTGACAGTCTTTCGTGCTACTTAATTTTACATATTCCAGTCTCTGTATGTACTTGCAATTAAAAAAAAAAGTTCCTGCCTTGCTTTTTATTGAAGGGTTCCCAGGACTGCATATCAATTATTGAGCTCTGTTTTAAATATGTGTACCCTTGGCTTGTATTTTGTATTAAAAGAGAACATGGAAAAGAACCCTTTATTGTTCAGCATGTTGGAATTGTGTCACCCTTATTTTCTCTCTCCTCTCTCTCTCTCTCTCTCTTTCCCTTTTTTGTTTTGTTTTTGTTTGTTTTTGTTTTTTGAATATATTAAGCAACTTATTCTTCTGTATCTTTTTTTCTTTTGTAAACTTTTTGGTTTTGTTTAAAAATGGCTTTATAAAAGGGCTTTTATAACCCATACCAATGCCTTCTGTGTTTCTTCCGCTCTTTACTGTATATGCCAGCCTACCCCAACATGGCACCCTCTATGCAAATTGTATTTCAGTTATTATAATTCCCAATATCTGGTCATGGCAACTAAGAATTATGAAACTGGTAGTCTAATACATTTGGAGGACACCGTTTTGGGGAGGGCTAGTATATGCCAGGTATAAATTTGTTTCTCAAAATCAGTAACAGTCTAAGTTATGTATTAACTTATTTTTGTATTCCATTTGTTTAAGGCTTTTTGATAATTCACTTGAGATACTGAATTCAAAACTTGAGAAACCAGTTGACTATAACTACTTATAAAACTAAGTTTTCCCATGGGATCACATGATCCTCATCTGAAAAAGTAGATCAAACTGAAAATAAAATTTCAGTAAAACATTAACTTACACATTGGCATATAGTCCAGACCTAGGGGTCAACATTATTGAAAAAATATATATTTCAACAAATATGTAAAATAATAACATTCCCAAATATTTAACTAGCATTTTTTCATTGATGTTTTGAATAGATGGAATTTAAATTGTCCAAAGGGGGAAACAAAATGACTGTTATGAGATGCAAAGCCACCCACTGCAAACTGAAGACATTAAATTCTTGTTAAAAGATACAAAATTGTTATTGCCTAGAGAGTACAAGATCTTATGAATCTGAGACCATGCTTATAATTTATATTATTTAAATGTTTTAATATTTTGAATTTTAAAATTGAAAAATTCTGAATCATTGATGGATATGGAACTTCAATAATGAATTCTCCTTCAGTTCTTTCAGGTAACATTTGGATGCAATTCATTTGTTTAAGTGCAACTAAGAAAAGAATGTTAAGATTTACAAGCTGTACAAAACCTAGTAAGAATTTTCAATCATTAAATTAATATTGCTATATATAATATAATATAATGTATATAACCAGTTTTAACTGTTTTTAAAGGTAGATAAATACTTAGTATATAAAGACAGCTTACATGATAAAAACCCTCAATTAGAATAAACAATAGGAGTTTCTGTCTTTGTTTACTCATAATGAATCAGTCAAAATCTAATGTTTTAAATCCTTATGTTAAGGAAAATCCAAATTTAGGATGTTATACAAGTCCACGTGGAATTATATGGTAGCATAAAAGTAGTTTCCAGATTAAATTCTTTATGGGACTTGTTTGTTAAAGATGAAGTTACTTTTGCCATTGATCCATACTTCCACAGCTTAATCTGTTAATCTTCTAAAGAAGAAATTATATGTAATTTAAAAAGCACATAGTATTCTGGCAGTTGTTGTCATATTCACAGCTAAACTTGTATACTTTGTGGAAATATAAGGCTTTGTTAAACCTCACAGAAAAATGGCAAGGAAGAACAGTTAATATTTAATATTTGCTTTATATTGAGCTGAATTGTCTTTCAAAATCGTTGAGATCTATGAGATTGCTACCAAGTATGAAAAATTTATTGCATTTCCAGATGATTTTATTCTGGTAATCAATATTGGAGTAATTTATAAATCAAAAAAGTAAATTATTTTAGTGCTAAATTCATTTATGTGCAGTAAATTAGAATTTTATCTCACATTGGCATGTCTATTACATGTCATTTGTTCTTTTTAAATTGTATTTCCATAAGAATTTACAAATTAGCTGCAATAGATGTTCTGAATTTTGCGTTACAGATTTTTCAAACTTATATGTAGTTTCAGGTTATGGAGCCAAAGTGCAACATCAGGTAACCACTTTGTTTAGTAATGGCAATCCTCTAGGCCTGATTGTTGTCATAATCCCAAGAGTGTGGGTCATTGAGCCAGAAGAGGGAAAAGTCCCAGGCAAGCAGGCCAGTGGGTGAGAGCTGTTGGCAGGGAGTGTGCTGGGCGTGAGCATTATGGAATGCGGTTGGTTGAAAAAGCATCAGGAGTGACTTACTGCTGGTTTCCCCATTGATTTTGTGAAAAGTTGGCAGGGAGCCTCAGGTCACTGCCATAATCAGAAGCTGGGCATGGAGTAGCAGATCATGATCACATGACCATAGTGACACTAATGGCCAGTACTCTGAGGAATGATGATAAATCTCCTTTAGAGACATTGTAACTGAATAGTCGCTGAACTAGTAGTCATAACCAAAGAACTGCCTCTAATCAAATCTGAGGGTTCCATCTTATTTTTATAATTCCTTTTGAGCTATACTACTTATTTGAAGGTGTTGGAATCAATGTAATTGAACATTCCATGGAGAAATCTTGAAAGATTAGCATCTTTGATTTCTTGAAGATCTTACAATATACGAGTAGTCCTCGACTTACAACAATTCATAGTGACTGTTCAAAGTTACAACACTGAAAAAAGTGAGTTATGACTGTTTTTCACACTACCATTGCGGCATCCCCATGATCACATGATCAAAATTCAGTTGCTTGGCAACTGCCTCATTTATAAAGGTTGCAGTGCCTTGGGGTCATATAATCCCCTTTTGCAACCTTCTGACAAGTTAAATACATTGGGAAGCCAGATTCACTTAAAAACCATGTTATAAAGTTAACTGTAGTGATTCAGTTATCTGTGACAAGAAAATATGTAAAATTAGACAAAACCAACTTAAAGTCAAGGACTACCAGTATACAAATTATTTTTCTGGTGATTTTTTTTTCTAGATTAGCCTTCATGAAAATAAATATTACTTGGCACTAAAACAAAGGCAATATGTCTGAACTTATTCCTGTATATATATTACATGTTTTATTATATGATCAAGTAATCATCGATAAACAGGACACTTCTACTTGTATCTGACAAAAGATATTATTGCAAGCATCCAGGGAATCCCGTTCATCTGTAGAGGTAACCCAGTGGTATAGTGATATATTTAAGTCTGTAATTCAAATTAAACAACTGGCTTAATAATATAGTTTTGAGATTTTGTGTCTTGCAAAATTATAAATTTAATGGAGAGGAAAAATAATTGTCTGTTAATTTCTTAGTTTATTAGATTTATATCTCACTTTTATTTTGTATAACTCAAGATGGAGTGGAATAAGTTCCTACTTCCCATTTTTACCCCAACAATGCTGTGTATTGGGTCAGACTGATTTTAATGCCTGTTTCTAAGACATCTGCCATTATGCTCTGCAAGTGTTAAACTGCTCTGCCATCAAAAAATTGGGGATAACGTTTTTTAAATATGGTTTTATTCATTCTGGGAGCCATGAGAGATCACCCAGCAAATAGGCTGCCCATTCTTTAAATCATGTTCTTTCTAGCCATGACTTAAGTCATTTCTTTTCATTTCCATAGATTTAAGGTTCCTTCCAGCCCTGTAATTCTATGATTCTAAATTTTCATTCTAAATTTTTCTGAAACCATGTTGGAATAAAGTGGATATATATGCTTTAGTTATGCGTTATTTGTATTTGTATTAAAAGATAGATTTTGTTCTTTGATCTGATAAAATGAGACTATTTTAAACTCTGATATGATAGTCTATTCAACTGTCAGATTATGATTGGGCACTTCATTTACAATTTGAAGTGAAGATAATTTGAGTATCTTAACATGCTACAACTACACCTATGAAATTGCTTCAATAGTCCCACTTTGATTATAAAAAATAAAATAGTTATGAATTGTGTACATTAACAGTAAGGTTCCACCTTTATATTAAATTTGTTTGCTTTCACCCCATTCCTATCTCACTTTGGAAAAAAAATCATACAGTTCTTAAACAATATTAATTGCTGAAAGGTCCTAAACCCCTTTGCACATTTACCAAAAAGTCTCTTCAAATGGTAATTTGTTTCTGGACAATATATGAGAATTCTCTGATGTTGGGTAAATGCGTTTTAGAGAAATCACCAATTTTTGGACAGTTCTTTTTCCCCATTGCACCTATATAACCCATGCTTTTCAGAAGCTCCCTCATACGATTCTGTATCTAAAAACAAGGATCTCTCTTCTCCCATTGAATGGTTTAGCATTCATTAAATATAAATGCAAACTATACATTTAACTTACAATATTACAAGTTTTGAATTCTAGCATAATGGAATAATGCAGAAAGTAAATAAATATCATATTAGCATTCCATGAAATACCATGTTTGAGTTGAAAATGAGATTGCCATTTACTGTTGACATTCAATTACGAAGGTGAGTTCATAAATTCCCCAAATAGTATTGCAAGAGGTTTTATTGAAAACCCAAGAAACTCAAGAAAAACAGGTAAGTGAAGTCACAGGTATTTCAACAAGGACCAAGTATAATTGCTCATGGGGGTGTAATTGGATGGGAGGAGAGATGAAGTAGGCAAGGGAATGAATTTTAAAAATCCATTAATTCAAATTTCATTTATGGGAGATTTTTGTCTTATCAATTTTATTTCTACAAAACACTTGATAGCTCTGAAAAAAGTAGAACTTAATCCATTCAGTTAAAATTTAATTCTAAATTTTCATTCTGGTAGTAGGAATGTACATTCACAAGCATCTAAGGACAGCTTACATCTTAAATTGTGTTTAGATCAAGCAGTAGAGGGCATACTTCTACCTCAACATCATCATACTCTAGTAAACCTCAAAAACTCTAGTTCAGTTTCTTTTTGGCAAACCAAAATTATTTATTTGAAATGTCACTTAAATACGTTTTCCCTTGGATATTTCAAATATATAGTTTCTAATTCTAATTTCTAATATATTAGATTTCTAATATATTAGATTTCTAATATATCTGTGAGTGTGTGCACTTGTATTTCTCTTGTTCTGGCAACTTAAAATTCTTAGCTCCATTTCATAAAATCTGTAAATATTCCAGTTTCTTTCATCTGCTATTTCAGCTTGTGTTTGATCATACGAATCCTTTCATGTTTGATAGTACTGTAGGCATATAACATCACTAGGCTAAAGTTTGCATCCAGTACACTGGATTGCTCTGCCTTGATAATGTCAGGCAAAAGCCATAGAGAAATAAACCTTGCATTTTATTGGGCTTG